ACCAATAGTCGGCTGTCCACGCAATCATATCTGGCTTGCAAAAATAGCACTCCAAGTTTGGGCCTTAGCAAGCTTACATACATTATACCAGTGCATCTTCCAATTCCTTCTCGGGTACAAACTTATGCGTTGTGACATTAGTGCTAATTTATACCATGTTCCCAAAAACTAGTTACACATTCAGGAAAAGAAGATAAGAAAACATGTCGTGTGCTGTATGTGAGTCCGACGAGTGGGATTAACAAAAGAAACTCCATGTCCTACCCTGTCGGATATGACGCTCTCAAAAGACTGTTGCCCAGAAATTGCTGAGCCGAGGTGATAACTTGAATACTTTGTTATCATGCAAAGCTTCTTAATGACGAAGACGATGATTTTGGTTTGAGACTAAACGGGCAGCTCTGCAGTGCTTTCAACATATTAAGGACGTTGCTCTCGGATATCTCGGTGTCTTGTTGTTCGCTGGGCTTTGACACACTGTCCGCCGAGTAGACGCTGCTTATACTTCCGCGTAAGCGAGACATAATGGTAGGGAGACTCATGGATTGCTCTTCTTCTCCTGCGAACACAGTAGGAGAACTCGAAGATGATTCGGTTGTTTCAGGCATTTCTTCTTGCCATATCTTGGTTTGTGGGACTGGTGCATCCGCGAGAGTGGGTGGCGCCGTAGTCTCATCAATCTCGGATTTGGAAGCAGGTAGTTTGACATCGAATGGTGCACCGCGGGTGATTGAGCAGCCCAGGGTATGAGTGGCAACAGCTGGCGTGACAAGTACTGGTGCTGGCGGCGGCTCTACAGCTACCTGGAAAGGCACGCTTGGTGTTGAAGCATTACTTGGCTTGCGTTCGGTTGGAAGCACAGTATACGAAAGGAAATCACTCGCAGTCGAAATTACTGAATCTGTTTCAGAGACTGATGTTGTAGGTGATTGTGGTGGTAGAAGCACCGTCGCCTCGTCGCAAGGGCTGAACGGGATTTCCGCTACCTGTTCGCTCAAGTCGGAATCGTCTGGCAGTTGAGGCATATCAACTGGCATACTTGGAGGTGACTCAGGGGCATCTGACATGAATATGAATTGTCTGTAAGACGCTGCTTCCCGTTCGGCCGTTGATGTTGTCCGTCCTTTTTCTGTGGGCTCATTGAGTGTATCAGGCTGCTGGCCAAGTTCAAGAGATTCGCTCAAAACACACTAAACAAGAGTCAGATAGTAAATCAAAGATTGGTCAGCTTACGTACCGAAGGTGTAGAGTGCTGTGAAGTCAGATTTGGGTTCGGAGAAGGTGAGAAAGCCGAGTCAATACGAACAGACTCGGTTGCAAAGAAGCTGTTATGTTTCCAACTCTGAGAAGCCTTGGGTATCTCCAGCCCAAATAAATGCTCATTATCCTTTCCAGTCCAGCTTTTGTGAGAAGGACCTGGTGTTGACGGAGTAACAGAAAGCTCTTCAGATTTCGACAAGATATCGGTGTGGTCCCTAATTGACGAAGCGTTGAGAAAGGCATCTAGCTCGGGTGTGACGGGTGCAAAAGTAGATCGGACTGGTGAGGTTGCGGAAGCCTTCTCTCTGTTATCACCCGATTCTTCGGAGCTACCCTTGTTCGCAGCCATCTCCTTCAATTTTCGAATGTCGCTCCTGTACCCCTTGATATCAAGCTTGAACAGGATGATTTCGCGCACATAAAAGTCAATCTCGCGACGCAGCCTTTCGATCTTAGCTTCGGGCGTGTCAGCGACAGTTTCACCCTCGTTATTAGGCTTCTCTCTCTTCAAATGCTCATGAAGCTTCTCGATCCAACAATCAATATCTGCTCCCTTGGCCAACGACCTAAGCTCTGGCAGAGGCTGTTCTTCCTCGGCAACAAAAAGCTTCATCGCTGTATGTTGTCGGATTTCTGCTTGCAGCAAGACCTTGTGGTACTCGAGCTGCCTCGTCAATGTGTGGATCGCCTCTTCGTTTTCCATGATTGTGGATTCACGGTTAATGACCGCGTTCCGGAGCTGTTCGATCAGCTTGTCGCTTGTGCGAGTTTCTTTCAGAAGCTCGTATTGAAGATCCGATTGGACAGCCACTCTCTTGTGCTCTTGCTCAAGTTGGTTGAGTTTTCGTTGTAGCTCTTCTCGTTTCACTTCCAGTTCAGCTACGTATGCATTCTTCTCAGCAACTTGGGCTTGTAGCTGCTCAGTTTTCGAGGTAGATGCATCCGGCGTGGGGTTTCCCGAGTCGACTGCTTCTGAATTCTTGGCTAGTTCACTAGATGTCTGGGTACCTGTACTAGTTTGGGTACCTGAAGCTGCCCGACTCGTATCCGATGAGATACGTAGCTTGGCGGGAGTGAGGTCGAACGGCGACTTCTTATCCCTCCAATTCGAGAGCTGTTCTTCAGCATCCAATCGTTTGGTATTGGCAATTTCAAGGCGGGCCTCGAGATCGGCAGTGGTGTTTTTTAGAGCATGGATTTTCTCAGTGAGCTTGTCAATGAGCTTGTTGGCGTGCTTTGCTTTCTCTTCCCACTTAACACTTTTTGTTTCCATCAGGCCCAGCGTACTCCTCAGCTTTCGCTCGCTCTCATTCGACTCATTCAACTTTGCCGTTAGTGAATCAACCTCTTTCTGGAGTGCAGCATTGTCTCGTGCGTATAAGCTAAGTTCTAAATGTAGGTTCTGGGTTGCTGTTTCTAGGCGAGGAGAGGCAAAAAGCTTGCGCTTCAAATTTTCCTAATGAATCTGTTTCAGTATATATATCAAATGCGTTGTTTTCCAGGCATCATTACCATTTCACAGGCATTTAGTGGAAATGTATCTGAATGTGCCTTGCCCGTCAATATCTCATCAAAAGAGGTGTCTAGGTCTAGAGATTCGAAGTTCGTCGGCTTCTTGACTCCCTCATCGACTGGGACATGTAGCCAGTCACCGCTTGACCCTATATATGCTTAGTCATTAGACTTTGTGTGTGGTATTCCGAATGTACAACACGAAGAGCCCACATTGTCCGGTATCACAAAATGACAATCATATGCGGCCTTTGCGGGCAAGCTTCGTGATGCAACAAGGAAAACCGTACTCACTTCGCTGAAGGCCTTCCTCGTTCATTCGTTCCTTGAGCAGTCGTGCTTGGTTCTCCAGAGAAGCGACTTGCACCGAATGTGAACGTTTGAGCGTCTCCACATGGGACTCATGTGCGGCCCTTAGGTTGTCAAACTGGGCTTGCAGCATTGCTATGGTTTGAAGTTGACTAGCGTTAGTCGACTCTAGCTCATGGGCATGTTTGCTGTGTGCTGATGTTGGGCTAGTTTGAGAAGACGTCTGTAAATGATTAGCATGTTTGGGAGCTCAATTGCGGCCCTCGAAAGCGTTTGAGAGGGGAATGGTTTCAACATCAATGTTCGTTATACATCGAAGTTCTGGAAAAACTTCCTCGCACGAGACTTTTGTAAGTCTCGCCAACATGCGTGTGAAAGAAAAAGTGAAAGAGACTCACCACTTCTATATAGCCGTGACGCTTTTCAACTCCTTGATCGGAATTTCTACCGTCTCTTTCGACAAGGTCGTTCTTAGTGACGATAGGAAGTGACTTCATCACACTAGACTCTGGAAGTCTCTGCAAGGTAGTGTCGACTAGGGAGTGATTTCGCTGTAATCCTTGAAAACCAGACTGAGTGGCTGCTGTACTGGGAACAGGGATTTTGCTGGGGCGGGTCGTCTTTGTCAAACTGTATCGGGAATTCAGATGCGGGACGCTTCTGGCGTGAGTCAATGTTGGTATAGCCGGCTTTGGTACATCCAAAGTAGCGACCTTCTCACAGGCCGGTTGCATTTTCGGGCGATGGCTCTCATTCTGAAAGTCCTGGACCGATCTTGTCGTGCGAATAGGATCATGATACAACGGATAGCCTTGACCCTGTAAAGGGGTTGATTCCGGCAACTCAGCGGGCAACTCTACCAATGATGGCACCGATGCAGACCGTGGCCTACTTGGAAGGGGTTTGTCCACAAAAGAGTATTTTGAGCATAGCGTATTTATCGATTCTGGTGAATGCAACATGTCATTGACTGCGACATGGAGATTATTGACTGCGCTGGCCAGTGCTGTATCGTACTGAGCAACGCTTGTACTGGATCCATTTTGCTTGCCGTCTGCTGTCGTGGTTACAAGCTTCGATGGCCGCCGTTTCAGCGTATCGAGTAGTCCCGTCCGAGAAGAAGGGTCAACGCCACTGTGGCGTTTAGACCAGGAGAGAACAGGTTTGGCTGGCATTGTGCCGGTCCGGGGCGCAATACAATTAACGAGGAAATTGTGGAGACATGGATATGAATTGACAGCTTGACGCGCTCGAGTGGCAGTGTTGGGCTGGAGGTGGAAAAGGGATGATACACGAGAGCTCAACAGCAAGGGATCTCATGGAGTCTTGTCCGTGGTTATACTGTCTGTGCAATGCGTCTGAATTATTCATTGTGCCCTGAGTCGTGCCTTGGGGCCCGAACATAGGAGCTACACCATATTCTGAGCACAATGCCTATATGGGCCAAAAGGGCCCGAATCAAGAAGAGATGGCGCCATATCTTGCTTGTCAACATGAATACATGAACACAAGATAGCCGCCCTATAAGGCCGCGGTAGATACACAAGTGTGACGAACGAATGAAGGACATGGCAGAGAAGGATGCACGTGGCGTCCTAGCACAAATAGCGCCGGGCCAGGGATGAGGTGCAGCAAGCTCGGGCCGCCTGTCTGATGTGGGGAAAGTCGCGACCGCGTAGCTTCAATTCTTTTCACGCTACTGCGTCTTTAGTCGCGACTCTTTGGAGTTATCAAACTTGTCTTGCTGCAATCTGCCATCCACGGCGTAATTTCCTAGACGGCTACTTCCCTCTACCCTTGCAGCCTGACGCCAAAAACCTGGTTATTGAATTCACTAGTGGAAGAAAAAATTGGGCACGTTATCTCGCTCCGATTTCCATGCTGCACTGTTAGGCTGCTGCCAGCAATCGATCCCCAACATGACGAGAGACCTGTCGCCATACAGCGCGCGGCGACTGCTAACCCAGCAGTCCAAAGAGGACAGAGCGGCATCGGCGCAGACCAGTAACAGCAGAAATGAGAGTCCCAGCAGCTTCTCCCGAAATGGGTCGGATCACGCAAGGAGAGAGCCTTCAACGGCATCGGGCCGGCGTTCGAGCAGCAGGTCTCGAACAGAGAAGCCGGGAAATGCATCCAAGGACCACGCGCCCAGGAATCCAGCCATAGAGTCAGGCGCTATTCGCAAACGGGAGCCTTCACCTGAGCCATACAGAAAGCCGCGCGACTCGTCCAGAGATAGGAGGCGCGATGGATCAAAAGATCGTAAGAGGGATAGGTCAAAGGATAGACGGCGAGACCGGTCACGGGATAGAAGGCGTGATAGGTCTGGCGACCGGAAGAGAGACCGTTCAAAAGACAGGCGGCGTGATCGTTCCAGAGACAGACACAGCCGACGAGACCGCTCGCGCTCCAAGGACAAGGATCATCGACGGAGGGACAAGTCCCATGATGCAATGCGTTCGCGCTCACGCTCGCCCATACCTTATCGCTCGCGCAAGCCGCGCAGTCGTTCGCCTTCTCGGTCGAGGTCGCCGCCACCTAAACGTCGCCGACATACACGTTCCAAGTCTCGGTCACGTTCACCTCCTCGGCACAAGCGTGAGAAGAAGCCTCTGCCTTCGCAGGAAATCTCCTTCCGCGGTCTCGACGACTCTGCCCAACCACCATCGAAATATGGGGGTGCCCCGGCAGACAAGGAGAAACCCAACTTCAAACCCACGGGTGCGCTGGCGAAAGCTGCCAACCAGGTAGAAGGCACAAAGATTTCCCTCAAATATCACGAACCAGCCGAGGCACGGAAACCGCCTTCATCACAGCCATGGCGCATGTTTGTCTTCAAGGGGGATGATGTGGTGGACACGATTGAGCTCTGGCAAAAAAGCTGTTGGCTGCTGGGTCGGTCACACGAAGTTGTAGACTATGTTCTCGAGCACCCTAGTTCAAGCGGACAGCACGCCGTCATCCAGTTCCGGTATATCCAGAAGACGGTTGAAGACGAGTTTGGAGTAAAGAGCACGCGAGGCAAGGTCAAACCCTACATTATCGATTTGGAAAGCAGTAATGGTACGGAATTGAACGGTGAAGATCTTGAAGCGAGCCGGTACTTTGAGCTTCGGGACAAGGACATAATCAAGTTTGGCGGAAGTGAGAGAGAGTATGTCGTCATGCTGCCACCGGCGGACTCAAAACAAGGATCCAAGTAAATAATGCCAGTCCGTTACAGACAAGAATCTAAGTTTCTTATCGAGAGTGATTGAAAATATCAATCACCAAACCCCAATACTCTTCCAAATCTAATGAAGACGTACACTATGCTATGCCTCCAAGTCTTCCATGTACTGTACGGCTTGATCCCACTCTTCTACTTTGGTATACGGACTCCTCATCCAAGCATTTAACTCGTGTAGGAAGAGCTTGCTATTTTCTCTACCCAAGAACTCGGCCACCAAGTTCTCTGCATGACCATGACTGGCTTTCAGATCTACCATTTTCAGGATGGACACAATGTAGGACAGCAGAAACTCGGCGTTGCTACTTGTTGTTGCGCCAGAGGACGAAGGACCTGTGGAATCCGTGCACAAGAAGGTGAAGACGCGGAGTTCACGTCGGATCCAAGCACGCGCCTTGGATTGCATCTCGGGAGAGTGCGCAATCATTTCAGGCGTAATGTCGCGGTACCTGGAGAAGGGGTTGCTGCCGACATGTAGGGAGTACAGTTTCCTACGGTAAACCTCTCTGCGTCTGCGTAGAGCTAGATCTTCAACAGGTGGAGAGTACGGACGGCGGGTACCTCTAGGCCTTCTGGGTAGTCCATAAGGAGCGAAGAGAGAGCCCGGTCGGTCCGTGCGACTGTCGTTGTTGGTGGAAGGGTGACTACAAGGGACAGTATAGCTTTTGTAGTCTGATGGAGAACGCCAGTCGTACTGAACAGCAGTGACGTTTGATTTGCCTGAATTTCGGTATCAGAAATAGTAACTATAACATGTAAGTCGGGCCTACGTACATAGCGGGCAAGTTGACCGTTGCTGCAACCATGATACCAGACAGACAAAATCAAACGTGTAATGGTTGCATGGTGCAGTAATGGCTCTCTCCGTGACAGGTGAAAGACATATTACGCATGTGTCTTCCCTGTCATCGTGCGCAGACCCGGCCGTACTTGCTGGCATGCGCTTGTAGTGTTGGAGAAGGGAAAAGAAAAGGCCCTGAATTCCGATGATGAGCTCATGGGTCGGAAGTGCGCTCGGGCCAGCCAAAAGTAGTCGCGACTTCCCTCTTGCACGCAGTCTGCGGCTTCATCATTCACTCTTCACACTCGCTGCACGTGTATAAAGGCGTGTAATTCACCGCAGAAGGTTCTGCGCCTGTTGCAGTCTAGTTTTGCTCCTGCATGCTCCTCTCCGCCACCCGACGCATTGCCTCAACTTGTCTCCGACGCTCATTCCCAGCCATGCTAGCAACAGCAACCCGGCCTGCCGTCGCAGGCCCAAATGGAAAAGCCACATATCATACCGTGACGGCACTCAAGCGGTGGTCATGCGACGACAAGGAACTCCCTCCCGTATCCGAAATCAAGGCCATTCACGTCTACGACTTTGACAACACCCGTACGCTTGCCACATCCGTGTCGCACGTCCAGTACTGACAACAGAACAGTATTTGCAAGCCCTCTCCCGAACAAGCAACTATGGAACAGCGCCACCATCGGCCAGCTTGGCTCACCCGACATGTTCCTCAACGGAGGCTGGTGGCACGATTCGAGCATCTTAGCAGCAACGGGCCAAGGCCTCGAAAAGGAAGAGGCGCGCGCATGGCAGGGCTGGTGGAACGAACAGATTGTCGAGCTCGTCGAATCGTCAATGGCGCAAAAGGATGCGCTGAGTGTGCTCCTCACAGGCCGTGGCGAGTCCAACTTTGCCGATCTTGTCAAGCGCATCATACGCAGCAGGCGCCTGGAATTCGACATGGTCTGCCTGAAGCCTGCAATTGGACCTGCAGGGCAGAAATTCAAGAATACAATGGAGTTCAAGCAAGAGCTGCTAAAGGATATTGTCTACACGTACAAGGACGCTGAGAAGCTACACATTTACGAAGATCGAGTGAAGCACACCAAAGGCTTCCGCGACTTTTTCTTTCAGTTCAACGAGGGCTTGATCAGGGCACAAACACAGGTGTCGCGTCGTCCCATTACCACAGAGGTTATACAGGTTCCGGAGAACGCCACTTCACTCGACCCTGTTGCGGAGATTGCCGAGATTCAGAAGATGATCAACACACACAACATCCAAGTCAAGTCGGGCAACGTTCCTCCTGGCACACCACCGTACCAGATCAAGAAGACCGTCTTCTATACCGGCTATATGATTCCCCCGGACATGACTGAGAAGTTGACTTCTCTCGTCTCCTTACCCCCTGGTGCTCCAAAAGACGATATCCGATATCTCGCAAACAGCATTCTGATTACACCAAAACCATGCCCGAAGAGCATACTGGACAAGGTGGGTGGCATCGGCGCCAAGGTCCGGTGGAAGGTGACTGCTGTTTCGTGCTTTGAGAACAAGTTGTGGGCTGCCAGAGTCGAGACTGTGCCCAAAGGCGCAAAATTCTACTCTGAAAATCCCGTTCCAACAGTCGTCTTGGCAATTCGCAAGAATGGCCGGCCAGCAGATGCTGCACGCATCTCCAACTGGCATCCCGTGCCCCAAGAGCAAGCGTTTGAATTTGACACTGTCGTAGGTGAGAAGCAGATGTTGCGCATTGAAGAAGAAACGGCAAACGAGAGCGAGTATGAGAGCTATTTCCCTAACAAGTCCCATCGCAAGGAGGACCAGAACGGACGCAATGACAACTCGCGGTCAAACCCTGGCCGCGGAGGCAGAGACCGAGATGAGAGGCCGGGAGGTTACCGTGGAGGCAACCGAGACCGCGGTCGTGGAAGCAATAGGCATACATCCTATGGCCAAAGAGGCGGCGCTCGTGGTGGCTACCGCGGAGACCGTGGTGGCGGCGGTCGAGGACGTGGCCGCGGCGGACAGTCGCAGTATAGAAGTTTGGACGATGTCGACAATGGCAACCGCGGGCCTGACAATAATCCGGATGCTTTCTACTAACATGTGTCTGCTAGTCATTGGGCCTTCTTTATGGGCGCCGCCTATCTGATTTCAGTCGTATCACTCTTCAGCAAACTGCGTGGCTTTAGCATTAAAGCGTAGTATCAGTATGACGCTAAGCGGTTTGAACCTCCAATCGGCTAAATCATCGGTCCTAAGCCCGGTTGACGTACCGCGTCTGGCACAGCATACATACGCCCTTTTACCATGATGAGAGCTCTCCTGTTCCTGTATACGTTACTCAAAAGTGCCAGCGCTCATGTTATCTTATATCCAATTTAGATACCCGTAATCTCATTCCCATGACGTACTCAGCATTGCTGGTTGGTCCATACCTTGCAAACAACGTTTATTTTTCCCAGAAAAAAAAAGAGAAGCGCACGATATCAAACAAGAAACAAGACGCGTCTCTCATCCAGAGACAAAGGAAAAACCTTATTGCGATGTCGACCACCGGACTTGTCCCAATTACGACGAATCCGGAAACAGCCGAGTCGAGCACAGGGCTGAAGAAACCAAATCGGCGATGACAATTTTCCTTGCTATGAACCCTCCCAAGCCCGCCTGCCCCCCAACCTCTCGGATCCCATCCGAACAACGCCCGTTTCCTTCCAGCTCACCACCAGACGCACGAGTCACTCAACAACCGGGTACCAATACCGCTTGGCTCTTCCCCCCATCAGGTCTAGTCCCTCTCCCCCGGTATTTCCTCCCACCTGGCCGCCGCCGGCGGCGCGGCGCAGGGAACGCGTCCACGTTTCCATCGCACGTTGTGGTCCGACGCCTATGGTATGGGGGAGGGGTGGAGGGGGCTTGGTGGCTGTCGGTGTGTCCTTTTCTCTGGAATCGGCGATCGCGTGCTGTTCTGTGCTAGTCTTTGTGGTTCCAGGGTTCACGCCGAATTTACGCACACCCCCTCTATCCTCTTCTCGTCTCGTCCTTATCCCGAATCGCTTCCTTGGGGCTATGCGGGTGCATTAGTCAGGGCGGGGGTATGGGGGTGCGGTGTTGTCAGTGCAGGTTTTTAAATGCCGGATAGGCGGCGGGCTGGACCCTGAGGTTTTGTTGTTTCCTTTTTTCTTCCTCGCGGGAGGCCTGCCAAGTCGAGACGTCTTACTGATGCTATACGAGATAAGATCGCGGTGATAAAGGGTATCACGAAGGGGTCTGGATATCCGAGGTGAGTACGTGAGGTCGCTAAGAGATGGTTGGTGTCAAGATGAGCTGTTCATAAGCCCCAGTGTCGGAAGTGTGTATGTACGTAAACGTGTATCTGGACAACCGGTCAAGATAGCCGCATGTGATTATGTTGAATCAGTCTCCTATTGACAGATCCATACTAGATCTCCAACTCCAAACCCAAACAACATCTTTCTTTCCCCCTCCCTTGCCCGAAGGGGAAAGAAACCTCCCCCCAACTCAAAGTCCAAAAGCAACCCGATACCACATATCACATCCGCGTGAAGAGGAGGAAAAACTTCTTACAAGCATCTTCTGTCCTCAGTGGGGCCGAGAGCGCTCCACCGCCCAGCCCAGCTCAGCTCAGCCCAGCCTCACCCGTTATATTATCCCGCATTCCCAAATCAACCACTACATCCGCGGCCAGTAGTCTACACAGAGCAATCCATCACCTACCACTTCAAACGAGCTTACCCGGGTTATTAGACCCTTTTCCTCCTCCTCCGACATCAAGCATCTTCTCTACACTGGGGGTTATTAGACTCCCCTCTCTTCCTTCTTCCTCTCCTCCCACATCTCAAACCCCTTCTTCCTCCATCCCCCATATCTATCCTCTCTCTCCCCACCCCTATCCATCCTCCCGCTCCCTTTCCTCAAAGAAAAAAAAGACAACAAGAAAGAGAGAAAAAAAATGTGCACAACCGTAACCCTCAAACACATAACCTGCACACACACACTAACCATCCACCGCACCTGCGCCCGCTACCCACTCTGCGAACTCACCACGCAGGTGCAGCGTGAACGGGGAGGTGAGTGCTGGGAGTGTGATCCGGGGCAGGCGCCGCCCGAGGCGTTGTTTGGGGCGCGGAAGAAGGAGTGGGTAGAGAAGAAGGGGGGTGTGGGGTTTAGGGGTGTGGGGAGGGGGAGGACTGTTTGATTTGGGGAGGGTTGGATGGATATGGAGATGGAGATGGGGAAGGTTAGAGGAGTCTGTGATGGAGGGAGAGAGGGAGGGAGGGAGTAAAGGGGGTTGTAGCGTTTTTTTTTTGTGTGTGTGTGTTTATACCACACATACCACATTATCTGATTTTCCAATGTATCACGTGTGTATTGGGAATTGTGCGAGTTGGTTGTGTGCGCGTGTGTAAAGCATTATTAGGAATGATAACCAACATATCACATCAAGTAAGATTCAAAGCACAAAAGTTCGAATACCCAAGTTAAAACAATACAATATTTCTATTTCCCAGTACCCCCCATCCCCTATCCATATATCCCTCATATACCCATTTCTCTCATTCTCTCATTTTCATAGTTTTTCGTTTCTAAATCATATATGTTCACATGCCAACACATAAAAATCTATAAACATGCAAGGGAGTCGAGTGAACCCGAGCCAAAAAAAAAAGGAACGTGAGAAGTGTAAAATAGACAAAAGAAAAAGAAAAGAAAAAACGCCGTGCCCAATGCCGCTGTGTGCATGACAATGCCAAACAAAGTCGCTAAGCTTATGTAATAGCAAAGAGAGCGCAGATACAGAAAAAAAAAGCAACAGTACAGTAAGTAGCAGCAATCTGACCAAGAAAAGAAAAAAAACAACAAGCATTGTAAACAAGGTACGATGCGATGATGCAACAGTGTCTAAAGAGGCAAAAGAAACTGAGCGTACCACCCACTTCTCACACACTTGTGTCTATCCAACTCACATGACCTAGTCGTCGTTATCACGCGACATGCCAGCCTGGCTTCCCTCAAAGTTCCTCACCTTTTGCGCATGATTAAAGCTAATCATACTACGCATCGGGTTCTTGCGTGCAGCACTGACCATGCTGGGGGAAGGAGGATGTCTGGATGCGCGCACGCTGCCGGTTCCGTACTGGACCTCATCGAACAAGTGATCGTACTGTCCTTGGGTGAGGCTATCCTTGCGAGACTTGCCGGATGAGGATGAGGATGATGTCTTGACGGGGCGTACGGTGGAGACCTCGCTGGGTTCGGATGCGTGAGCAGCTTTGGACTTGGAGGACCGGGAGGAACGGTGGGGACGCAGAGACTCATCATCTTCAGCCGAGTCGGGGGTCCTGTGGGAGCGAGAGCGATGGGAGCGCCTGGAAGATTTGCTGATCGTGGACTCGTCGTCATCAGCATGCTTTTTGCTGCGGTGGGTGGTCGAAGACTCGGCGTTCTCGGTGTGCTTCCTGCTACGGCGGCTGACAGAGGTTTCGGCATCGTCATTCTCCTTGCTCTTGTGACGGTGGGATCGGTGTCTGCGGCGTGGACCATCGCCAATCTGCGAGATGCTGTCACTGGGTACCACGGTGTCGAGATCGTCTTCAGACATGTCGTCAAAGTCGAAATCATCAATAAAGTCCTCGTCTTCTTCTTCTACCACCTCTTGGGTCTTGGCCTTGTCACGTTTGAAGAGATTGCTAACGATTGAAGCGGCCTTGGATGGAACCTTGGGGGGCACCTTGGATTCAGCTGGTGGGGGAGAAGCCTCGCGCTCCCTACGACTGCTGCCGTGCTTGCTATACGAGGACTTTGCTTTTGATCTGCTCGTGTGATGCGAACGAACACTACCCGCAGCGCTTTGCATATCCTCATCATCGGCGACAAAGGACGAGATGAAGGAGCTGGCCGCAGCACTTGGAGCTGCGCTGTATGCCTTGGAGACGACACTGTGAGACTTGTGTGGTCGCGGTGGCTTCAAAGACGAAGATGTAGGCTCTGGTCTGGCTGCCGACACTGTGCTCCTTGCCTGCTCCCTTGCCTGCTCAAGCATCAACAAGTCGGGGCTAGTGCTGGCACGGTCAGAGGCCCTAAGCCTTGAGGGAGCGGCTGAGGGAGCACGAGAGTAGGCCGGCGCATACTCAATCTCAAGCGGCTTTGCATACTCGAGGGCGCGAGCCTGGGCAAGGGCACTTGGGGCACCAAACTGGGAAGGCGAGTAGTAGTCGGCGGGGGCAGCCTCGATTTGGCGGGGGACCGATGACCTTGGGATCTGAGAGGCGCGTGAATAGGTAGACCGCGCGTCGTCGTTGTCATCGTTGTTGCGGTGTACTGATGGAGCAGGTTTTGGCGGAGCGGTCGTCTCAGGTGCGGGCTGTGCGGGCTGCGCTGGCTGAGCTGGCGGTTCGGGTTGTGGGGTTTGCTGGGGTGGTTCAGGCTGCGCCGGGGTCTGAGCGAAAAGAGTTGCCGCTGTCTTGACCGCGCTTTTGGCATCGAGGAAAGCGTTGAATTCGGCCTCTTTCTTTGCGCTGTCACGCTCGCTCCGGGCGAATGCATAGGCAACAGCAGCTCCTGCAGCGGCTCCAAGAAGTGCACCAAAGAGTTGCTTGCCGGCACCTTCACCGGACTCGGATTTGGCGGCCTGCTGCTGCTGCTGAGGGGGGGAAGACATGACGTCGTCTGCTGAGAAGCTTCGGACTACCGTGGGTGGTTTTGCAACAGCTGGCTCGGCCTGTGGTGGTGCGGTAGTAGTCTGTGCGGTCCTCGAGGCAGATGTGTAAGTGTTGCTGGTAGAGGAGCTCTCACGGTAGGAAGTGGAGGTGGAAGTGGTGGTGGTTGTGGTGACTGTTCTTGACCACGTGATGATTCTGCTGTGCTGGTAAACGGTGCCGTCTTCTGCAATGTCGGGCCCGTTGCGGTAAACGGCCTCGATGCTGTTTCCGTCAAAGTCTAGTACTGCAGCGTTGAAGTGGCCAGTCTCAGCGCATCGAGTGGCTGGGCTTCCGTTGGGGCGACCGCCAGCTTTCAATGCCGCGGTGTAGAAGTTGCGGACCGCGGTTGTGCTGGGAGCGGTGAAGGCAATGTGTGCGGCACCAGCCTTTACGCTATTCAGGAGTTAGTTGCGGTGAACTTAGTAGACATGGGCTGATGAATTGTGGTTCGTACCCAGGCGTTTCTTGGCAGAGGAAGAAGTCGGCATTGTGAATACCTAGCCCGATCTGGTGGCCAGACTCTCCAATGTAGCGGTAGCCCAGGGGCTGGAGTGCGGAGAGAAAGAAGGATGTCGAGGTTGGAAGATGGGCGACTGTGAGGCCTATGTGGGCGACGGGCATTGCTGGGGGAAGGTTGTGTGGATATGAGAGTATGGATGTACACAGTGGGATGTAGAGTAGTGAGGGAGAAGGTGGGGGTTCAGAGTTTGGATGGTTCAATGGCAATGTTTTGGGTAATGGCAAGGCAAGTCGAGCATCTGTACCGGGTCGTGGTACGAGGTGGAGGTTTATATCACAAGTGACGCGGTGCAGGAGCCGTGTGTGGATGCGTGGTGGAGGGAGTATAGCACAGCGTCCGGGTCCGGTTGGCTGGTTGAGCGGAAAAGGCAGTGAGTGGTACAGGGCACGCACAGCTGCAGGCGGGAATCAGGGAGGCCGCTGTCAACAAGTTGAGATGCTGCCACATGTCCTGCGTCTGCAGGCTAACAAATTTGTAAAGGTAAGCGATGCAGCAGTGGCCGGTATTGGCTGCTGACCGCCGGCCCGCAACCGCGAGTGGTTTAGGATGGCCGCACGCTTCACTACGCCCATGACGCTGCGCTGCAAATGCTTCTCTTCCTCTCCTAGTCGCTTGTCGCGTGCGGTCGACTATTTGCCGTCTGCGGTCTGGACACACCACCGCTCGCCGCACTGGGCGCTATTTGCTATGGTCTGACGTCGTAGGAGACGAAACGGGGCGGGCTCTGCTGTCTACATCCAAGGCCCAGAACGGCAGCCCTGGTGAGGCGGTCACGGGGTTGTCCTCACCGCGCCCTGGGGGTGGCTGGTGGCTGTCGCTGGCATCAAGCTGCCTTGTAGTCGTTGCTTTTGGCCATGTTCGCTGAGCATCGTGGAAGATCGGCGATGCGGCTCCCGGCCTCTCCTCACCCAGCCCGTCACTCTCCCGCCGCATGCGCGCCGACGAGCCATCCATGCCGCCCGCGCTAGGCCCCAAACAGGCTTAGCCCCCCAGACATGTCATCGAGGGGTCAACGGCTCTCAGTGCGAACATGACGTGAAGGCGTCAACTTTTCTTTTCATTCGCCAGCAGTTACATTGCTGACACTCCTGATCATCGTGCTCGCCATGTCCATCGCCATCTATCTATGCTACACACGTACACGTCCTGACAAAAAGGTGCCGCGATTACCTACTCCAACCCAATAAACAACCCACCCACTCAAGCAGAGCCCAATATCCAGCCACACATAAGCCCACTGCCAGCACACCACTCGGCCGACTGCGCCACACTAGCTACACACAAACAAACAAAAAATAAGTTTAAAAACCAAAGAAAGAAACACGAGGTGCGGGGCAGGTTGAGCTGCCCTGCCGTCTTCCAAAGAAGACTGATGTTTGTGCGTTGAGCCAGAGTAGTTGTTTTGTTGTAAAAGAACCTCAGGCACCCGCCCAAAATCACATGCAGCAAGCGTCCCGGCTGTTGATGTTGTAATCTAAGCCCCGAACTGCTTCTGCCCCGTATCACTTTTTCCTAGTCCTGCGGTAGGCCGGTCTCCAATCCGACTCGTCGACCGGTTTTTTTCTTTGTTGCATATGGGCATGTTGGCGTGTTGTCCATGGATAGGTCCCTCCTTTTTGGCTGGCCACTCATCTAGAAGATATTCCACACGTCCTCGGCCGCATGGCAGAACTTACTGCACGCAACGCTGGCACTGAGGTTGAACTGACTAATCGCAATGCTGTCGTCCTTGATGTCGTCGGCAAAGTCGTCGTTGCCTTTGGCCATGGCACCAACAAACACGGCAATGCTCTCGCCCTTGTTGAGGCTTCCAATGTAGTCGCTCACTCGCACCACCTCAGAGTCAAAGCTGAGCGTTACCTTTCGGCAGTTTGGTGGTAGGTGGTCTGTAATCGGGTTCTTGATCACCTCAATGAGCTT